TGGGGAGGGGGAGGGGGTGGGCGGAGGTGGTGGTGGGATGGGGGGTGGGGCGCGCGCAGCGTGCCGTGCCAAAAACACTTGCGACTTACGTGTTTAATCAACTTTACCGCGGGAAGGAAGAATTATTCTTCGGCGGAGTTAGGAAATATATTTATTATTTGTATCCTTTCTCAGCCTGTATCTCCGAAACTATTTGAGTCCGACCCTTATATATATGTATGAAATTACTCGGGAAGACATCCCCAACAACATATTTAAAAATCAAGCGAATCGGAGAGGAAGTCGCTTTTATGCACAATTACCTAAACTATTATATATAAAATATATTATACAGCCCATACAGCACAAATTGTTACAGAAAGGTTTCAGAAAAATTTCAAAATTATTTCAATATTTCACATTTCATGTTCAACATTTCTGACAGAATTCTGCAATATGTCATATGAAATGATGCAACAGAAATGTTCCAGAAATCTATCATATGCAATAAATTTGAAAAAGTAATGCGAATATTACAAAAAGATTTTTCTCGCTTTTTGAGTCACATATAAGGAACGTTGAAATAAAGCAATGATTGACTACTGCGTCATCTTTTAAAATTTCAAAATATTGAAATAATTTTGAAATCTTTCTGAAACCTTTCTGTAACAATTTGTGCTGTATGGGTACAAGCAGTCCCCAGATAGCACAGGTGATCCATATGAACTCAAAAAGAATTCACTTTTTTAAATTCTTTATGAATTACTTTAATCTATTCCAAATGAACTCAAATGTAGTTCTTTCCGGTAGTTCAAAAAGGACTCCATAGAAGTATACCTTTTGACTTCTTATAGGATTAAATTAAAGTATTCTGAAGGAAGTCCTTTTCCTGTTCATAATGGGTTCGAATAGAATTCCTTTTTGGTGTACTCATATATCATCGCACATCTGGCGGCTGAAAATCGAAGTAGTTCCGTTTGGGACGTCGATCGTGCGAAACGTCTTCTAACCTAGAAGGACATTTTTTGATCGAGTGAAACGCCGGTCGCCGGCGTGGCTCTCAGGGCTCTCAGGTTTATCTCTGAGAGAGATGTTAGAGAACATTGATAATACATACGTAAGTATAGATTATCAATTTATTATCATTTGCATTTTTAATAATTACTATAATACAAAAATTCATACAGCATGTACTTGTACTTTTTAGGTTATATTGAAACATTTGCTGTTACATTATTGTATGTGCTCTGGAACTGTTCAGTTATTTCGAGACACTTCTGGCAGAGGACGAGGAATGTGGGCAGTGCTTTCGACAATTTCGCAGCTTGTGCACGATCCTTATTTTAGTGCCGATGGAGGGTATTATCGGCGACAGTGCCAAAAGTATACAAAGTATTGTCGACCGCGACACGAACGTTGCGTGGAAGTACGGATACGCGGCAGGTCTTCGATGGAATGCGATCAGTGCCGCGGAAATATTCGAGCCTGTGCTCGCTTACTGGGAAAAGCGCGTGGACACCGACAAGAGCATGCTCGAGCGTTTGCTTGATACTGGCGTCTTGCTGGAACTAATGAATTTGTACACATGAACAGAGATGAATTTTACTTCACGCACGTGTCGGTCAAGTCCAAGTCGTGCCTGGGCAAACTCTGTACAGTTAAGAGGGACTTGTACAACGCCGTAGTGATGAAATGCAGATTTGTCAGTCTAGTATGTAAGTTTCCCGTTAAAACTCTGCTGGCGAAAGCGTGCGCTGTTACTAGGAAAATTATGAAGCGGAATGTCGAGTGGGTCATTCGTGAAATGAAGGAATCCGAATGTAAGCGCTGGAGACAATCGTGGAACACGTGTCGCAATTTAACTTACAACGTAGGCGTACTGTCTGAACATGTGTACGAGGAAAGCGTGTGTTTACTGTTTGTTCACCTTCTTGTGCAGTTGCATCTCTCGACTCGACGGAGTCGAACCGAGCCCTACAGATTCTGAGAGCTTCAGGTATCTTGAGAATATTATCTCTTTCGTGCTGGACAGATTGAGCGTTGTATATTAGCAATAATTTGTATAGGAAAGCTGCGATGTGCGCATTGAATGCCTTGTTAACGTATAACCAGTTAAACACAAAAGCTTTTCGTAGATGGGTGCACATTAAGAAAATTACGCCCAAAGAAGTCGCAAGCTTAGCTACGCTGGACTGCTTGACCAGTGATGAAGATGAGATAAAGAGCGAACTTGGACTTTCAATCGATATCTCTAAGTACGACGTTACCGCGTTGTGTCTGCGTAAAGTCAAAAGTTTACTGGAGGAACAGGTCGCATTTGCAAACGGTGTGGCAGCGGTTCTGGAAAAATTA